CTTGCAAGTTGTGGGCATTTTGGAGATCAACAAAAAGGTATGCAGGTTTTATTTGTAGTCTATTCCATTTTTCAAATGCGCCTGCAGGAGTGATGTGTTATTATTTAAATGTTATTCTTTCAGGTGTTTGGAAATGGTGTTACCGATGTGGTTCTGTCTCAGGGCGTCCTCGTGGTGTCTTACAGCAACAAGTCAGTGAAGCTGTACAGCTTTGAGCACATCATCCAAAGGGTATGTATGATTTCCCTGCACATATTGAGCAAGGTGAATATTTTATGTAACTGCATCAGAAATATATTTGTTGAAAGTTATGTACCTGTGGTTATTTACATATTCAGTGTTTGATAATCCTGCTGGCTCATCTTTCTGCTTACAACTGTCTGTGTCTATCTTCTTTGTTTTTAGTACTTGGCAGAGAAGTTAACACTTGGAAAGCAAAGCTCGCTTCTCGGAGGCAAAACAGTGGGAGATGTCCCGTTTGGTATTCCAGTAAATATCCAGATCACAGGTGAGTCTGTTTTAAAGTCCAGACCTGCAGGAGATTGTAGTAGACCTACTTGGCCACTGTGAGCAGGACTGTTTTTCATTACAAAGTAAAATGGCAGGTTTTTTTCCTCATTGCACAGATTGCCCTCCAGTGCTTTTCGAGGTGTCATGCTCTAATAACAGTATCCAGATTGGAGGCTACCCATGGCACTACATCTATACACCCCCACATAAAAATCACAAGGGGACTCACCACATCTGTTCACTCAAGGACAGCACTATGGTAAGTTTAAAGAACCCTTTGTAACCATACACCATAACAGAACATTTCAATAATTATTTGGTTATTTGAGTACAAAAATGTAGCATGTGCTTGGCTGTAATAGATAAATGCCCCCAGTCTTGTTGTGTGTTAGACTTAACTGCCATCAAATTGGCCAGAGCCTATTGAAAGTGTCAGCGTAAAAAGAGCCACAGATGTTTGTGACAGTCTGTGTAGTCAGCTGCTGGACAGAGCAGGACTGAACAAAACCTGTAATCACTATTTAAAACCCCACAAAATGCTCCAGCTATGTCTCTGCAGATCTCTCTGCCAACATTTCCAACACACAAGAAAACACAGTTTTGTTTGCCCTTATCAACCTGTGTCTGAGTACTGGTAAAAATAGTGCATATCCATTTTAATAGGCCAATTGTTGCCTGTTCCACAATCATGTGCTTTACAAACTCTGAAGTGCACAAATCAGGTTGCACAAAAAAGTTGTCATTAGATCCAAAGTAACAACTATCCTGCTAAATTTTCCTTTTCTTTTAGATTTTTTTTCAAGGGGAAACTTACCCGTAGTTACGTACTTATGGTTGTACATGCAGTATGCTTTACAATGAATAGTGCCTGTCCTAGTTAATGAGGGATATTTTATGACATTAGGCAACGAACGGAATACAAAACATGAGCTGCTGCTCACTAGAGAGCGATGGCATCTTCTTCCACCCTGACGACTCAGGAAGAATCATTCATGTTGGACCTACCACCATAAAGTGAGTACTACAGTCAACCTTTGGTAATATGTCTGTGGTGTGGAGGCAAATATACCAGCCAAGCAAGCAACAAAAGAACTCCCTATTGAATAAAGGATTCAATCTTTGGTGCATTTTTATTATCTTATTATACTGGACAGGTTCCTCAAGAATATATTTATATATTTTTTAAGTGTCTTAAAGATCCTCGGTGAACTGAACAGTGGTTTGCCATCAAAGGTAGTTGAGGATTACTCTATGGCGACCCATCGAAACAACACTGTAAGTCCTGCTCATTTACCTACAATGTGCTGTACTCATATTCTGAATGAATCTGCCTCATATGTGTGTATCACATGTTCACTGTGTCATTGGTGTGAAATCTAACTCGGTCTACTCAGTCAATTAAAACTGAATGTTTCTGCTTCCTACTGCAGCCCACCTCACAAGTCACTGTAACCTCATCGGGCCGCACAGTGAAGAGAAGATTTCATCAGCTGGATGATGACCCAGATCAAGAGGTACCGAAGTGCTTTTAAACGCTTTACTCATTGATCCTGTATCTCTGCAATGAAAATACTTAATGTGCTTGTTTCAAAGAAAGATGTACTAGCACACAGTCTCACATATCTTTTTAAAAGTGAACTCTCTTCATATTCTGTACTTCCTTGTTGTTATCAAATAGCATAAAAAAGACCAATAATCATGTAACAAGTATTACAAGTTGATAAAGGGCAGGAACACTTACGAATAAAGGGAGAATTTACTACATTAGCTTAAGTGTTTAAAGCACTGTGGCTTCTTATAAATAGCTTTTGGATCAACACATCATCTTCCAGCTGGAAGTGTCATCACGTCCTCAGGCCACTGTGTGTATGTAGGAGAACAAGTTTCTGGGGGCACCCTAACCAAAATCAGACCAGTGGTGACTGGTACACCACCCGAAACATTTATTGTATTTTTCTTTTTAGTTTACAACAATGAACGTTTTAATTGTACAGACTTTCCGTATGGTGGAATATGAGGATGAGCTGGACCTTCTGGCAGTAGTGGTAACTAATGGCGAGGAGGGAGAAGGAAGAGCCCACATCCGACTGCACGACAACCAGAGCGGGCAGTTACTGCGGACGGTTGATCTGGTTGAGCCTTGGGATGAGGTGAGTGACCTGATGTGACTGTACCGGCGGTAAGCTGATGTTGCCTGCGTATATGGATTCATGTGTGCTCTTATCTTTTGTTTCAGACTTACCGACACGAGTTGTTCTTTGACAAAGACACAATTGTTCATGTTGAACAAAAGAACACCAACTTTTGCTGCCATCTTTACAAACTCAGCTGCCAGTAATTGAGCGAATGAAGCTCATGGAAATCATTTACTTTTATAAAGACTGTGTACATATTTGTTTCCAACTTTGTACAGCTGTTCTGTAAAACCCATAATGCTGTTCACATCTGGATCACTGTGTCATTATTTCTTTGGTGTGATTTACACTTGATAATAAAGTCTGCACTGTATTACTGTTAACCATGTTCTGTCTGACACCTATCAACATTTATTTTCACTGTTTCCCTTCAATTAAAATGTTCTATTTTTCCAAGTTACTCTGTATTTCTGCCTTCTGTTTTCATCATGCTCATCCAAGTATTAAGATAATTGTGCATTATGGCGACTTGCTTTCACAACCCACAGTTTTAATGTGTTAGTTTATTCCATAAATTAGCTGGTGTAGCCCAGCTTTTCATTTGAAATGTAAGGTTTTGAAGCTACAGTCGTACTAAAAGTCCTTAAAATACATCTCTCTATCTGTTTCTTACCATGAGACACTATTTTCTTTTAAAGTTGGAATAGTTTTGGTTATTTCAAATGAGAGATCCCTTCTCTGAGCTCTTCTCCCTGGTTGAGAGTGGATGAGGCAATTTAGTAAAATCTGAGTCTGAATATGAGGACAGTTGCTGGCTATTTGACTATGTTGGCAGGCTACTGTCAATCAAATCTGATGGAACCACATCCACACAGTCGCGATGAAGTACGGGCCTGTTTCACAAAAGCAACGTTTTAAGGGGCTTTAAGCTTGCTTGTGTTAACCAGAGCAACCATGAATGTGGACGTGTGATGTAAATTATGAGCTTTAAGGTTTAACAAGAGTGCTTTACACCTTTCATATCAAACTTTAATATGTGCCTGTCATGCATGAAAAACTTAAACAGTACAAAACCTTTCCTATCCTTTTTAAGGACATATATACATCATACTCACACCAGGAATGGGTTGACTGACACTGAGTTACCCTCTGTTGCAGCTGTCATTGTCTACAGACTCCCCAGGACCTGGCAGTGCAGCAAAGTAATGACCCTGTTTAATTAAGTAAAATACTTAAATACCACAATATATAATAACTATTAAAAGTAAAAGCCCTTCATTAAACTAATAAGTAAATGTAACTATCCAAAATAAAAGTGTTGTTGTTCTGCAAGTTATGTTATTATATTTTACATTATTAAGTTATGAAGACTATGAAGTAAGTAGTCAGAGGAGTTACACAGTGAAGTCCAGTGGTCCCCCAACCTAGGGGTCGGGCCCCTTCAAAGAGACACAGAATAAATCTGAGGGGTTGTGACACGATTAATGATTTCACGTTCACCCCCTCAAGACCAAACATTAAAAATCATGCTCCAGGAATGAATTAGTTTCCCTTCTGATGGCAATCTGTTGCATCCACTGCAGAACCCTCCTAGTTTTTCTGTACCACCGGCTTTGTATGTACAGCAAAGATCTGTTTAAACAGACATTAGTGATGTGGGCTCCCTCTCTGACTCATACTCCCAAATAAAAGATGACACAATTGCTTCTATAGATCATGAACATTAAAGCAAAAAAACCTATATTTGGTTACCGTATAAAGAACCTGAATGGCCTCTTTATTATATTATTACTCTGAAGAGCACATTGTGACTTGTTTAGCACTTACAACTCAAAGTTTATGACTTGGGACTGTTCAAAGACTTGAGATTTAGTTGTGACTTGCAAAACAATAACTTGGTCCCACTGCTGTAACTCCTACATTTCTATCAACATTTTGTCTCTAATCTTTTAGTGAAATATTGAATCATTTTGAACAGTTATTTTAATGAAACCACCACAGACATCAGAGACAATGAGACTAAACTACTCCAGCCACCTGTTTAATCTTCTAACAAGTTGTATTTCATAAACTGATCATATGTGGAGGATTTTATGTAAAATCTTGATTTGAAAAGTAATTAGTAACTACAGCTGTCGGATAAATGTGGAGTTAAAAGAACTTCAAAATAGTACTTAAGGAGCCTACAAAACAGAAGTTAGGGACACTTTGTACACACTTAAAGCTCAAACTGTGAACGCCTTTAAAGAGAAAAAACTTGTTTTTTATAATAACTGGCTCCAGACTCTTCTGTAACCACAGAAGTTACAAAACGTCTTACGTCTTTCCTCCAAACATTGGCTCGGCTGTGGGTCATGTGACCGCGGTCCGTCCTCTCCAGCCTCCACTTGAAGCAGTGTGTATTCGTAGTAAGGGTCGCTCCGTCCTGCTGCTGCCGCCGCAAACACTGCTGCTGATGGAGGATTGGAAGCAGTTCCTGGCGGCTCTGTGCGCCGCCGCCGCCGCCGGGGTCCTCTCCATAATATTCGTGCTAAGATGGGCTCTCCACTATAAGGAAGGTTTAGCCTGGGATGGAGGACTGGCCGAGTTCAACTGGCATCCGGTCTTAATAGTGACCGGGTTTATTTTCTTGCAGGGAATAGGTGAGTTTGTAAGGTTGTTTTTTTTTAGTTGGTTTTTATTGTAAGAATGTGGATTTCGGATGTGGGCGTTGTTTTGTTTACACGTGTGTAGATGTAAACAACTTGAGGAAATTCTCGATCCAGAGTTAAGTTACAGAAAGCTCTGTGGGGGAGTTTACCTCGGATGAACTCACACTTAGAAAGAAAGTGTTTGATTGTTCAGCTTGGGTGTGAATTATGAGTTTAGTCTAATTTTAAGGTTTAACTACATAAGAAAATAGCTCTCAGGGAAGCATAAGACAGTACTTTCCACCTTTTAATATCAAACTTTAATATGTGCCTGTCAACTTGTTGGCTGACACTGTTACTCTCTCCTGCAGCCATCATTGTCTACAGACTCCCCTGGACCTGGAAGTGCAGCAAACTAATAATGAAGTTCATCCATGCAGGCTTGAACTTACTGGCCTTCATTCTCGCCGTCATATCTATGGTGGCAGTTTTTGACTTCCACAATGCTGCCAAAATCCCCAACATGTACAGTCTGCACAGCTGGCTGGGCCTGATAGCTGTGATACTGTACTGTCTGCAGGTAAATAAGCTATTTCACATTATTTGCCATTAATGGATAATGAAGGCTTCTGGTTTTGTGGCGCAGGCCTGATAATGAGTAATCAAGTTTTGCATTAAATTAACTTTATTTTGCATGTTCAATCACCTTTACTAATCTGTCTTATGGAGCTACAATACAATACATATATAGTGTGTCTTATACATGTGTGATAATGAGATTCACAAGAAAACTATAGTGAAAAACTGTCTTGATTAGTATAAAATCTGACAAGTGGATGTGTTTTTTTTCTCCTTCACTGAGCAGCTTGTTCTTGGAGTTGTCCTGTACTTGATACCAATTACACCTGTATCCTGGAGAGCAGCGTTTATGCCCCTCCATGTCTTCAGTGGTCTTCTACTCTTTGGCAGTGTTATAGCCGTGGCACTCATGGGCATCACTGAGAAACTCATTTTTGGCCTGTGAGTATTAAAAAAAAAAAGAAATAAAGGCTTGTAATAGTATAAAATTATAAATATAAAAACCTCTTAAACAATGTGTGCAGTGTTAAAGTGCTGCCTCATGGTGGGTATTAACTTTATTTCTTTGTACTTCATCACTAAGGAGCAACCCAAAGTACAAGGACTCTCCCCCAGAGGCGATTTTTGTGAACGTTCTGGGACTCCTGTTAGTGGTCTTTGGAGCTCTTATCCTCTGGATTGCCACTCGAACGTCTTGGAAACGCCCAAGTGACCAGATCTTGCATACCCGGCATACCAATGGGGGAGGTGAGGACAACAGCAAAGTCGGTCCAGCCATGTCTCAGCTGTCCGATGGAAGTGATGCTGAGACCTGCGGGGACATCAGGAGGAGGAGTAACAAACTAGATGATCAGGCTGACTAATTACAAAATACCTGACTTGGAACTGATACTGTCTCGAGTGTTGAATGTATGTACACCCAGTCCACACTGGTCAGAGAAAGACAAGATGAAGAAATCTAATTTAGCTGGTCTTTATATACATAACTTTCTCTGCTGCACCTTAAAGTATTTAATCTTAATGGCATTTTTTTGGGCAACATTTAAATGTAATTGTTGTGGGAGTACACTTTATTGACATACACTGTAAAATGATTCATTCCTATACTCTTTGTATTCTGACTCTTGGGTCTATATTTTACAATAAATATTTGCATCTTCTAACAAGCATACATCTGTTAATATTCTAATTATTGGCTCCACTGACAAACATCGATACAATAGAACACAGTCAATGAATATTATGAGCACTAATGTGGGGTTGTTGTAGTAAACACATAAATATTAATGTTAAAGTCTGTAATACTGTATCATTCATTCACAATATAAAACCACTCCACACTCTTAAACCTGAGTCTTGAGGTTTAACCAAACTCAAAGCTCTCCATTGTTGACTTCCTCTAGCAGCAGCACAGCCACGTCAAGGCAAAATGCTTCTTTTTGGCCCTTCGCGGCTTCCGTAGTTAGTTCTGCAGCCCGTTTGTTTTGCCTGTAAATTGCTTGTCAGGTCCAGAACCTGCTGTAAGGTTTGTAACCTACACATCGACGCAGTCAGCGGTAGTTTTACACTCCTTGTTAAACTCTTTTAGTGTTTGTTGTTGTTTGTTGTTGTTTGTTGTTCGGTCGGAGGAGTTTAAAGCGTTATGACAGCTACAGTAGTTAGCTGCTGACAAACAAAGCTAACTACCCATAAAGGGATTGGATGGTGGAAGTCACATTTTCTGCGACTCGAAAACATGTTTTTTACTGAAGAGCTGACATTAAACTAACGTCAGTCCTGTTTATCTTTAGTGTAGTTACTGATTGAACGTACAGATCCAGTGGATGGCGGAGTTACTCTGCAGCCTGTCAGAACAAGGAAGGCTAACGTTAGGCCGACTGGATGCTAACGTTAGCCTGTTTTCAATGGAAATGCGGCGTGATTAATGACACGAAACATCACATTAACGCGGGGCCTGCTCGCAGTTTGAAAGCGTGTGCAAACAAGCCGATGAGGGCCAGAAAACGAGTCGATAAAACCGACAGGACACCGCCGTGCTGAGCTGACCGGGTGTGCTGTAGGGTGGGGCTCTCTGTTAGCTCTCTGACAATGACTGCTCAGCGTGGCTGTGGGTTTCACAGTCACATGTAGCTGAGAAATGATCCAAACAGCCAGGAGATTGAACTTGCTCAGCTGCAGAGGAAGCAGAAAGCAGTGTTGGACGCTCACTTTAACAGTACAGTCTGGTAGCTTGCTGTCTCCATTTGCTGTGCAAGGTGGTACTGAAGCTGAGAGCATCAGCTGTCAGCTTTAAGGCTTTCAAAGCACTGCCTCTGTTTATATAGGACATTATAAACGCATACAGAGATCACTGGACCACCTGGATGTTTGGCTTTTGTTTAACATGCTCAAGTTTTAAAGATTCACTCTTCTCCAGTGTATTCTTACTGGGACAGGAATAGAAACTGAAATGTGTTGTTTGTTTACAGCTGTGGCATCATGTCTGACAAAAGTGAGCTGAAAGCAGAGCTTGAAAGGAAGAAGCAGCGCTTGGCACAAATCAGAGAGGAGAAGAAAAGGAAGGAGGAGGAGCGCAAGAAGAAAGAGGTATGTTTTTCATTTTGTGTATGTTTTATAATATCCGCTGATATTCAGTACAGAAATGGATACGGAGAACAAACAAAACCATTAATGGCTGAGCAAATGTTTCAATTCAAATGCATATTTTCTCCCTACTCTCGTGATGTTTGAAATGTAAGACATTAAATGTGTTTGAATAATACATCATTGATATCTAACTGGTTTGTACTTGTTAAACTCTCTCCTGAATTAGATGCGTATCAATTATTAAAGTTGGTATTTCATTACAGCTTGACATAATTAAAAACAGTCTCTCCAACCATCCAGATTATATGTATGTTACAATGTAAAGTAACACTGGAACTGTATCTGTCATCATTTCAAATTTTGAGTTTGTTTATACGCATGTGATTTGTGGCAACAATTCATTTTTTACCTTCATTGATTTAAGATGTCCAATACAAGTCAGAAACGGCTGTGTGTTTTGGTGCAGTTGAGCAAGCAGTGAAGTAGAATATATCGAAAAGAATTGGGGAATAATACAATAACAACAAAACAATCCAAGATAAAGTATTCTGACTGGTTGAGTAATCTAGGTCAAGTGTCTGTAAGTTGTTTTTTTATTAACCACAGTGATAGGTTGAATACAGTTTCTACCCAAGATACGAAAATAAGCTCTGATAACACTGTCGTGATATTTCAAACGACTGTGACTTTGTGTGTCGTTAGTTACAAGCAGGAATAATGTCATTGAGAGGGGAGAGCTTTATAAAACCTTTTCACCTTGTGATTTGGTCTGGAAATGATAAAACAATCTACGCTTTCAACACAGGACAAGTAGTGTCTAAATTAAGACTGTCTTTTGGGTTTTTGCCTTTTTCCATAAAGTACTTTCTGCTCTCTGATGTTAGTTATGTTAAATTCTGGCATTAAGTGAAATGAATGCAGATTATTTGTGGATGTGTACTAATCTCTCAGAGCTAGAAATCGGGAAACGTGCAACAAGAGAAGGTTAAGTTTGGTATGCTTTATTGTCTGAGATCATAGCAGTATAATGTGGATATTTAGAGATTGAATAACTGGGTGACACATTATTTTGTTTCTAGGCGGACCAATTGAAAGATGCTGCACTTCACCAGGATGATACTGACCTGGAGAAAAAAAGACGTGAGACTGAGGCTCTTCTACAGAGTATGGGCATAACCTCAGAGGCTCCTGTTGGTACGTTTTATATTACCTGTTGGTGGATTGAACATACTTCTCAGCTGCTGTGATATCTGCCTTTAAATTCTATAATCTTTGGGAAGGAAACTGGCACGTCCACAGTGTTCCTGGAACGTAGCATATTCATATATACTTTTTCAAATATCCTCTTATATACAGTTACAGTAGCTCATTTACCTTTGTATCTCACATACATTGCCATTCTTGTATTAGGACAGTCAGTAGTCTTTCAGTGTTTTGCCTCTTCGACTAGAGTTTGAGGGTATTCACATTCATACTGGGTGAACAGTAGTGGGTTATTCCCCCCAAAGCAGCTCTAACCAGTATGATAATGACAACATACAGCCAAACAGTGTAATGTTATTTACTGGCTAACTCAGTCACCTGACCCCAGTCGAGCTAATCATGTGTCTGACTTGTTAAAGACCAGACTCGAGGGAATAAACTCAAGCAAGAGGTCAATATGGTAATTTATTGCAATGTACGTATGTGCAACCAAATATTAGATATAATAACTTCAGGTTTGTGTTTACTTGTTGTCCTATTACCGTCTGTCTCCTGAAATTATATTAATATATATATATAAAAGGTTGGTGTGGATGAAAGAACCTCTCATTAAAGCTGAAAGCCAGCATTTTAACCCCATAATCTTGTGAGGTTAAAATGTTTTCTTTTCATCATAGTAATTTATGATTCGTTGTGTTTGTAGTTCAGAGCCAAAGCAGCAAAAAATCACTGTCACTGTCCTATTAAGCTGCCAACTAGAGATTCGTTTGTCAGGAACCAAGTAGTAAATGCCATGAAGACATACCATGTCTATTTAGAAAAACAGCTTTCCCACAAATTATACAGATTCAAAGAAAGCCCAGATGTCCCAGTTTGCCACTAGCACTTAAACACAGCATGCAATTGTGCATCTGTGTGGAGCTGGAGAGCGTGAAACGAGTCTCCAAAAACCACACGCAAATAAAAACAAAAACTTGACTCAACACACACATTATAACAATCTGTAAGTACATACAAAAGAATGTCAGAGTGTGTTTTAGACATTTATATACACAGGAAACGATTTAAAAGCGAATATGATCAGATCTGTAAAGCTGAAGTTAAAATATTATTCAGGTTGCGATGTGTGAAAATGTTTTACATGCTCAAATTGCAACATGCATTTGCCAGTACCCAAAATTACGCACACATCTTTGTACACATTTGTAAATCTTATTTTTAATTGCAGATATGATCATTTTGAGTCTTTTTCTCTCCACTTCATGATGACGTAACTAACCAAGTGGAAAGTGGGGGCCTTACATAAATAAGCTGTCAAATATGAGTCTTACTTTAGAGTTTTTTGTGTTTTTTCTTGTAGATTTTACAAAAATGTCACACCTGCCCTTTACAAAGGAAACACAGATAAAAGAAACAAATATTTGTAAAATGATACAACAGACTGTATCAATATTAGCATTCATCCAGAGTGGGAGTGTTAAAGCACTGTTACGTTCCTACCAGCAGGTGGCAGAAGAGATCCATCAGAAAATCTTCACCGGTCTCTCAGGATGCAAAAAAACTTAACATAGAAATGAAAAAACATAATAGTTTTGGGAATTTCTTTAGTAATCTGTCTGATATACTTGTCATTGCATTTATTCAAACATTCATTCAAAGATAAAGTCAGTGTAATTGTGTCATTAAAGCTCCAATATGTGTTGACATAAGCTCACAGCTTAAGTGTGTTATTTACACACTCTGTATATTTAACTTGCTTTGCTCTAATGTGAAAGCTTCACACACATGTTCTCAAACATGTAGGTGTTTTATATTAAGACTGATAACATCCGTACAGCATTTGAAACAATAAAGCTGCCTCTGTCTTACTATGTAGTCCCTCCTCCCATGTCTCCAACTACGAAATCGGCGGGCACACCAAGTGAGGCAGGGAGCCAAGACTCTGATGGAGCCGTGGGACCCAGGTACACACACACACACACACACACACACACACCAAATGTTTCCCCTCATCTCTAGTACTGTACGGTACATTACAAGAGTAGAAACAATGCCAACATCCCTATTTAGGAAGAATTGAAATGCGCTTATGCTTTATCGATGTTTTGTCATCTTATGCTTATGCCAGCTTCTCCAGCCTCTTGCTTTGCAGATGTGTTGTACAGCCAATTAGCAATAAGTAATTTGAATACTGCTTTGAAAAATGGAGGTCTGTTTTAGCTTTGTTCACTTTGCATCACTGCAGGACACTTCAGACAAAGGCTGTGAATATATTTTAAGCATGATTACACGAAGAACTGAGCTAAACTCTTTCATAAAGTCTCACACCAATACAGTGAACGATGACGGGTTTATGCCGACTGAGCGCATGTTTATTTAATTTGTATGTCGTTGAATTAGGACGATCCTAAATTAACAATAAAACAGCAGGCTGCTGTGATGCCTGGGGGACTTCTTAACCCCTAATTAGAGCCCCTTCCCTGGGCTGAAATTCAAGCTCCCCCAGTGTCCCATCAGGCCCAGGGAGCTGTTCCCCCTACCTGTTGACTCATTTCCCTCACCAGCATGGCCATTTCCTACACACATGGAGGTCATGTTTTCTCCCTGAGGGTTCTCTCTCTCCCTCCCTCTCTGTCGACACAACACTCAGAGCCTTTGGTGTGACACAGTTCAGGTTGTATCAGCCCCGCAGGCTGCACATTACACCCCGTGTCATCCCGCTCATGAGGGTCTGTGCATGTATGCATTTTAAGCAGATACATTCTTCCACCTCTGAGGCAGTTTCAAGCTGGATTTACACTGAAAAACATAAAAAGATCCGGTTTTAAGTATGTTTTGATAACCTCGGATTTCAGTCAGCATGTTGTGTGCCATAATGCTAACTTTATTTCCTCTCCTCATTTGTGCTCGCTTGTCTCTCTCACTAATGCTGCCTTGTTGCTGTGACACTAACCAGGACTCTGCACTGGGACTCTGACCCGTCCACTCTTCAACTTCACTCTGATTCTGAGCTGGGGTACTGGACACTCTCTTCTCTCCTTTCCTGGTCATTTTCCCTTCTCTCAATCTATGGCATGATTACTGTGTCTTTCAAAGTCATTATTCAGTTAAGGAAGTCCAGGAAATCAGTCAAGTTGTGCATGCAAGAGTGGTCAGACAAAACCTTTTAATTAATTCACACTGGTTGTTAAACTAATCTGAAGTCTTTACCATCCCATGAAACACTCATTTACTTACTTTGATCAGCACACTCACATGGGGGTGAAAATTACTACAAAAACTGATGAGAACAGTTACAGTAGAGTGACTGTTTAATATGATCTTTTTCTTAAATTCATTACTGTTTTGTTGTGATATTGAGCTGTGCAAAGTTTGAGTTTTTCTGTGCTTTTAGGCGTGGAACTGCAAAACTGGGAATGGCCAAAGTCACACAAGTGGACTTCCCTCCACGTGAAACTGTGTCCTACACAAAAGAGACGCAGACGCCGGTCCTGACCCAGCAAAAAGAAGGTGATTATCACATATTATACAGGTTAAGTGTGACTGTGTGGTTGAATATGTGAGTGCTTTACACCAATTTAGTGGCCCATTAACATGCATAGCTTCTTTTCTGTCAAAAGTTGTGTTTAGGTGCAATGGTGCACCACCTCTTGCAGATTATTCATTACACACTTGTTGATTTGAGATGAAAGTAAAGGGAAAATGAGGCCCAGGAAACATAAGAAGTCAAAAGAGAGATTAAATTCAGACAAGCCCTGCTCCTCTGAACCTCACAACCAACTCTGCTTTGGTATAATTAATGAGCAGGATGAGAAAACCAGTGACAGGAAGGAGAAATGCGATTTGTGGGGTAGATATGAATCGGTGCGCATACGACTGCGCTCTGCCTCTGAAGCATGTCAATATGTATGTAATTGCTGCTCTGGAGCTTTCATGCGGTTGGCCAAAGAGAATATTGGAGCTACTACTAACATCCACATGTTGAACACATGTTCCATAAAATATGCAATATTTGAGGGTGTGCTGCTCGTTCTTTGTTGATTTATGTAATGACAGATGGCGAACAATGCGCTCGACTGAAATCCTGATTAGGTTTTATGTTTAGCATTCTAATTTTCTTTTGTGCAAAGAGATATCAGAACTAGCCGCAGATCCTGCAAAACCTTGAACTGCAACGGAAGTCCACATTGAGTCTGTCTTTTTTTAGCTGTTTGTTCAATTTCTTTGCATCAGCTAACACATCTTTTTTTAAGCATCCTTGAAAGCCTGGTTAGGGTTTTAAACAGTGTACTGATTGTCGGTTGTTGTCCCATCAGGTGATGTGTAGAAAATTCTGAGGTGGCATGCAGCGCGAGTAAGATTAAATTGTGTGATTTTGTGGAAAACTATGAGCAGAACTAGTGAAGGATGAAGAGCGTCCCTCTGTTCCTCGTCGCTCTTTTACTCTGGACTCTACTGGGCATTGTAAAACTGTGTTAAACAATGATGGTTTCTGCCAGCTGTTCAACACGAGGCCCCCTTCCCCTCTCTGCCACTATGTAATCATTTCATCAACTCCCTCGCTTCCCTGTCTTCTCCCTTCACCGAACAGGCACATAACAAAACACACTCAGTGACATTGTGCATTTTCACACCATCACTTCTGGAACTCGATGAGACGGCATCCCCTTCCCAGCTTGCTCCCCTCGGCGCATTTTTGATGTGTGGGGTGGCGTCAGGCCTGTTCTCTGATTGAGCGATTTATCATGTTGTCAAAAGGAGGCAACGGCGCAGCACTCTCAAGGTCAGCAGGCGGTGGCATTAGAGGGAGAGGCTGCCGTGTCCTGGCTGCTGCAAACTGACGGTTCCCACAGTGTCTGCAAGACATCTCGGAGAAAGGAGTAAAATATTTTAACATCACCTTCCCTATTGACCCAAAGAACCCCAACGGTTAAGGAGAATACATCTTCAGGTTATTTGTTTGTTATTAACGGGGACAGTATTGCATCATTCTACCACACGAGATCAAGTGGACAGTCTTTGTTAGCCTGGCGTTCCTTGAAATCTCCGCTCAGATGACAATTTTTACATTAATTCTCCCACATCTTTCATTTGCCAAGTTTGTGAACCTGGGACAACATTGTCAACAACATTGAATTAGTGCTGTTCCATCTGTAAAAGTAGTTTTCGGTTCTTTTTGATTCAAGCCATCAGATTGGTGAATTTGTGTGCCGCCACTACAGTAAACCCAGACTGCACTAGTACGTAATATGCAGCATCAGTATGCACTCCTCAACAAGAGGCTGTAATTATGGAGTAAGATATTGTTGGAGGTTTGGGGGGGTTGGTGGTGGTGGTGGTGGGGTGTGTGGAGTGGTTGGTCTGCTACAGCGTTTTAAAAGGCTTGTCAGGAATATGAGTATGTAGAGCAGTTCAGTAAATCTAATATTTAATTGAATGTGATTGTTTTAATCACTCTGAATTCAGAGGCAGGTCAAAACTTTTAATCACAAAAGCCCTTAATGGCCTTCTTATGTGAAGTGCCACTTGTAATTGTGGTCAGCTTTTATGCACTTGATGATTAGTACTGTTAAATATCTATTGTATACCTCTGTCATACAGTAGCTAATCATTCGAACAGAGAACTTGGGGTATTCTACTTTTTTAGTATTTTTTTTTTTTTAAATCATTTTTGTTCTCAATCTCCTTTAATAAGATTGTGAGACAGATTTAGTTTTTGCTGGTGTTGGATTTCTGCTCAACGTTGGCCTGTTTGTGATCTTTAGACCTCACTGTCATTAGAGACATGTGTCACCATGTTAAAGAAGTTGAAAACAATAGACTCCTGTTTCACAGCTGACTAAGTCTTGAACAGTGTTATCAGATTGACAAGAAGTCTGACTGCTGATGTCTTGGTTTTTATTTGCCTTGCAGCAGTTTTAAGTCCACACATGAACACAAATGTTCACACAATTGTTTGCATTTTGTGCTTGAGGTACTCTGTTATAGGAAGTAAGAAATTATAGTGCACATACTTGTGTGTGTGTGTGTGTG